TATTATTGGTGTATTGATCCTTTCTATTTCTAAAAGGATTATGAATGAATTAATTTACTTATGTGAAGATAATAACATAAATGTTTATTATCAGGATACTGATAGTATACATATTGAAAAAGATAAATTAGTTCAATTGAGAGAATCCTATTATATCAAATATAATAGAGAATTGGTGGGAAATGACATAGGTCAATTCCATTCTGACTTCCCACCAGTGAATGGAAAAGAAAGTTGGGCAATTAAGTCTATCTTTCTAGGTAAGAAGTCTTACCTTGATGTCCTCACCAATGAAGATGGGGACATTGATTATTTGATAAGAATGAAAGGAATCCCTAAGGATGTAATCATTGGCACAGCCAATGAGAAGTTCAAAGGGGATGTGATTGCCTTATATGAATATTTATATGCAGGCAATCCTATACCTTTGATTTATCAAAGTATGGTCCTCACTTTGTTATAGAAAGGGACTTTAAGGTAAAGACTCTTGAAGAGTTTAAAAGAACAATTAAATTCTAATGACCTCTCAATTATTAATTGATTCTTCTTTTTCTTTATTTTGTTAATTTTTGTTGTTCAAAAGGAGATAATGATGATAAATTATAATGATTTGTATTATCTTTATTTAAAATAACATCATTATAAAATGTTTTTCCATAATTTTTAATAACATCTTTTATTTTCTTTCCTTCACTTATTTCTGTCAGTGTTTTTCCATTTGTTTCATACCATTTAGGGAGTCTATCAAGTACCATTTCAATCATTTGTCCACCAGGTATTATTGATGTTATTGTTTTTGATATTGGTAGTATTTTAGATACTACTGTACTTGTTGTTTTAGAAATTTACCTCCTATTCCTGCTATTTTCTTTCCAACACTTTTAAGTCCATTCTTTAGTTTCTTTAAGAACCCAAATCTCATAATAACCAAATGATATTAATTAGTTATTTATAGATAATCATCTACTTCATCTTCTTCATCTATTTCATCTATTATATTATCATTCACTTCTTCATTATTAAGTCTATTAGCAAATAATAATGGTTTTCTTTTTCTTTTTATTGATTTTCTTTCAGGTATTTGATTGATAATATTACTTGCTGTTTTAGTAATATCATTTGGTATTTCATTTTTAATTTCATTTAAATATCTTTTAGTTGTACTAATAACATTTTCACCTGATGCTATTCTATTCAATGCTTCACTTGTAGGTTCTGCTAATTTATTCATTATTTCTGTTCCTTTTTTAATAATATTTCCACCTGGAATAAAATCAACAGCAGTATCTATTAATGGTTTTGCTTTTTCTATCATATTTCCACCTAATTTAGCACCAACTGCTAATGCAGCTGCTAATTTCTTTAATCCTTCTTTGAATCTTTTCCAATTACCAAACTTCATAATGAAATAAAAGATTGAACTAATAAATCAAAATAAAGAAGATGAACTATAACGTTATTAAAGCATTAGATCAAGAAGAAACAGGTGACCTTATTAAATACTTTAATTATACAGATGGAATACTTGAAGCTAATTCAGGTGTTCATGATAATAAATGTTTATCAATTGATTCATCTGATCCACCATGTCCTGTACAAAAAGGAATGTATACAAAATTAAAATTAACAGATGAATCAATTCAAATTACAAATATAGATAAATCATCTATTACAGCATTAGTTAATATTAAAATTAAACCAAGTTCACAATTTTGGAATGAATTAAAAGCACCAGGTATTTCAAATCCAGAATTTGATAATAAATGTGAAAGTATAAAAAATCAAACAGTTGTATTCTTTGTAGGATTAAAATCATCAACACATTTATTTGATGCATATAGAGTATATTCAAGAAATAAGAAAACAGCATGTGAACAAACAGAAGCATTATATGAAAATGCAGCTATTAGAATGTTAAAAGCACAAGAAGAATTAGATTATAAACCAGGAATTTATACACAATGGGAATCAGCATATAATATGGAAGATAATATTTGTGGATGTTATATATCAATGGAAGAATTTATTAAATCACCAGATAATACAGTTGAAAAAGAATTTGAAGTAATTATTCCAATAGATGATTTATTACCATTTGCTGCTATGAAAATGTTTCCTAATGCATTATTTGGAAATTTAACACTTGAAGTTAAAATGGCAATTCAACAAAATTTTGTTATTTGTCAATGTAAACAAGAAACAATATTAAATAAAATTTCACATATTTCATCATCTTCATATAGTGGATCAGATGAAATAAAAGATAATATAACAGAAG